ATTGCTTACCGCCGGACCCGGAGGTAAGTGTAGACCTACCCTAAGTGACTTAAAACCTAATGGGCGTAATTCTCATTTATGCTGATGCCCCTTTAAGTAAGTGTAAACATAATATATGCAATTTAGGCTTGTGTTCACTGCAAAGTTAACTTCACTTCTTACCTAACCCCAACCCAAGTCCCGTCCACACACAAAAATCTCTCACTTGAGTTGGCTGGCCCATCAGAGAATACAGATTAAAGCCTGAGTGCTGATCATACTTGAGCAGCTAACACAACCACTCCTCTGATAGAGGAATGTAAAGAGGCCTTAATGTAAAGGAGAATCAAGCCCAAGGCTATGTCTACATTGCACTTTCGTTGGTAAAACTTCTGTGGGTCAGGGGTGTGGAAAAAACAAACACACCAGACTCATTGGGGGTGGTTTTATTTTGTCCGCAGGAGAGCTCTCTCCTGCCGACAAAGGGCGGCTACACTGCGTACCTTACAGCAGCACAGCTGTGCCACTGTACAGTGCACAGTGTAGACATAGCCTAATATATTTTGTGTTTTTACTGAATTAGCTTAAATTGTTTGTTCTGTAATGCAACCTCATTTTGAGAATTTTATAAAGTTCTGAGGAAATTGACATATGTGTATTTTATCTGTATTGACAGAAGGAGTTGTCAGTAATTATATATGTTTGTTCAGGTGAGGAGACTGAAATACTAAGAGGACATAGCTTCTTCAATGATGGCATATTAATGAGTACTAATAGTCTCTTGCCTGATCACAGCTCAGTGAGCACCACTGGAGACAAATCTATACTACGTGACGACACACATGAATTCAAACTTGATGGTTTTGGAGACGAAGATGTTCCTGGGGATATGATTGGTATGGTTTGTCATAGATTAACACAATCCAATCAATTCTATCCAAAGTATTTTTACTGTAAAAACCCCACACAAAATGTAAATAAAAATAGAACTTGCATTTGAAAACATTTTTTCTGTAATTTACTGTGTTTCCTTTTGCACTTTTAGTTTTTCACTACTTAATAATAAACTGAGCTCATTTATATAATCCCAGACAAAAACTCCGTTAAAATGAAATTAAGGTTGAGAGTACATATCAGCAATTTAGGGTAAAATACATTATGGGAATGTTCCAATTATTCCACAATCAGGCATTATAAAACCAGGAAATTGAGAGTTAAAGTTAAACTTAAAAGAAATTCAAACATGTTAAGATATGGAAATGCACAGTTAGGGCATTCAGACAATCTTAACTCTGCCCTTTTGTGACACCAAGAAATAACCATATGATTTTGATTAAAGCATTTTAATGTTTTGGGTTCCAGATTAAATTAAAGTGATATTTTAAAATACATTAGGTTTTTTTCTTTATTTCACCTCATTGTGTCACCTGTTTGGCCCGCTCTCCTTCACCCCACATTTCCCAGCACGTGCATATGTGTGCATACAAACCAGTTTTCCCCTTCCCCACTGATCCACTCCCGCACTATATCCCTGGCTTCCCCCTTCTGTCCTCTGTTTAGTAGATCTGGTGCAACAGTTTGCTTTTGAAAATAAATGTTTAGCATTAATTGTCACTGTTTGTCATTTTTTTTAACCAATGAAAGTCTCTCCATCAGCACAAGCTTGTATATAAGAATCTTCTTCAGTGAAACTTACATAGAATTGCCCATTTGCAAAATGGTTTCAATAGTCCATTGTTCTCAGAAGGACTGAGGCCATATCTTCCCTCAGTCAATATACCCCATTTAAAAATGACCGCTACTTTTCACTGTTTCCAGTAAGAGTGAAGCCACTCAACTTTTTTGTTAAGAGCACCCTATGGCCACACTCCCATTGAGAACAATGGGAGATAGGTGACCTTCTCAAAATGATCACCTAACTGTGGACAAGTTATGTCCTGAGTCTTCTTGAGAAAAATGGGATGGCAGGCATTTTGAAAGAGGGCAGTTCTAGACAGAATTAATTGTAATGGAATGTTATTTGTTAGCCCCTTGCTGGGGAGAAACATTCAGTTATAAAGAATAAACAGGGAGAAATTACCATTAATCCTAAAAAATAAAGTCTTCAGATGTAGACTATGGAGTGAGTTTTAACTGTAAATAAAGTCCGAATCATTTGTATTATTCTGTTATTAAGATCATTCAGGACAATTAAACAGCCCTACATTGTATGCCACATTTTTAGAGGATCTCTTTTTTAATTAATTTTAACTCAATCTAATTAACAATTTACTTGTAAATTCTGAGAAAATTAATTCTGTTCCCAAAGAGTAAGTACAGCAGTTTGGGGAAGGATATGCTGTATCTTCATATGTAACAAAGCGCTTGAGTCGCTGTTTTAAGTGCAAAACTCAGCTCTGCCTTTACCATGGGCTTGGCTACACTTGTGAGTTACAGCGCAATAAAGGAGCCCCAGGCACCCCAGCTGACTCCCCGTCCACACTGGCAAGGCACATAGAGCGCTCTGACTCTGCGGCTACAGCGCTCCTGGTACTCCACCTCGGCGAGTGGAATAACGTTTGCTGCACACCCACTGTACAGCCGTGGCGCCAGTGTGGACAAGGTGTTGCCTTACTGCACTGTGATCGGCCTCCAGAAAGGTCCCATAATCCCCTTAAGTCAAGTGGCCACTCTTGTCATTGTTTTTAATCACTGTAGGAATGCGTATATGCCGTTTGAAAGCTCCATTTCTGACAGCCGGGAATGCTGTGTGTGTGAGAGAGAGAGAGAGAGAGAGGCGGTGGGAGGTCTGCTGCTGTCTGAACTTACAAGACAGCATGCTGACATGCTCTCAGCCCCCCAAAAACCCACTCTCTCTCCCCCCACATACACACAACACACTCCCAGTCACACTCCACCCCTCTCCCCATTTGAAAAGCACGTTGCAGTCACTTGGATGCTGGGATAGCTGACCATAATGCACCGCTCCAATGGCGCTGCAAGTGCCGCAAATGCGGCCACGCCAGTGCGCAAGCAGCTGTCAGTGTGGACAGACTGCAGCGCTTTCCCTAATGCGCTCTCCGAAGGCGGGTTTAACTCAGCGCTCTACATCTGCAAGTGTAGCCATGCCCTATGTCACTGCAAGTGGTGCTTCCATAATAAAACATCATAAGTAAATCATCATTTGAAATCTATGCTTAAAACTGGTTTCAGTACATTTTCCTCAGCTTTTGTTTTTTGCATCTATATCCAAGCAAAAACATTTTAGAACTACAGCCTTTCCTTTTGTACTACAACAAAATACTTTTCTCAAAAGAAATATTTGGAAATTAATGGCAACTCAAGTGTGTCGTCATGCCTGCAGTTTTGAAGGACAGCACTGTAAATAGCTATAATTAATGGTCTTAGGATTTACATACAAACCATTTATTTTAAGGGTTAATAATGAAACTATAAAAAAAAACTTGTATAAAAATTGGTATACACATTTTAACTCAGCTGCTCTTGCTATTATGAGGAGGATGAAATTAAAAAAAAGTTTATGATATTTTACTTGTCAAAAAAAATTATTCAGATAAGTGGGCATCTATGTTTCTGCATCTATGTTTCCCCCCTGAAAGTTAAAAACAATAATTTTTTTCTTCTTCCAGCACTTTAAAAAAAATGTGCTTCTAAGTACACTTTGTGCATGGTCTGTTAAATTTTCATTATGATTTTGCAAAACGTAAAAATATAAAATAATAGACATTTTACCAAAGTATGGTGTTATTTTCTGCTTATTTATCTCAAAATAGTTTGTTTACAAACAGTTGTCTAGTAAGTGATTAATTTGTAATATGAGTTAATCAATTTTGACATGTTCACATAGAATTTTACTAATTATAAAGCACTCTCTGTAAGCACTGAGGCCTCATTGGCAAGGTTCTGCACACCTCTTCTGATTAGCCAAGCACCCTGAGCTCCCATTGATTTCGCAGGAGATGCACAGCATCTTGCAGGATTGAGCTCTATATAATTCCTTCTAAATAATTCATTATAATGGATTCTGCTGGCCTATTGCATAAATAATGCTATTTTAAAACATTTTAATATATGTCTACCCTGTTGACCAGATCACCTATGATTTACTTAATAGCTTCTTATTTGAGATATAAATTTACATTTGTATGAATGTAGTTGATATACCATAGGGTATTGTAAAATATAATGTACAGATTAGTTTTAATTTTGAAATGTATATATTTAGCTTTTGGTGATTACCGTTGTATATAAGCTAGAACAGGTTTGGGGGTTTGTTTTTTAGAATAAGGAAGTTATATATAAAAAACTATTTTTAAACAACATTAAAGATCATACTTTCACAGGTGAAAGGCAGAAAATTCAAAATTAAGTCTAATTCTCTCCTTTATATACATTGTTTTGTATTAAGAAAGCTTTAATTCTAAATCTTTAGACTTGTTTAAGTTGGTCTCTTGCTTTAAACGCAAGACTAATATTTAAATAGTAACACTTGGCTGGGTCATTTGTTTTATTACCACTAAAGCTTAGAGTGATTAAAATTATGCATTTTATTTTCAAGAAAATCTGCTGAAGACTGAGCAAAATAGCCTAATTTATGAGATTCTTGATATGGAGGAAGAAGTTCCTTTGTCACAGGAACTTCCTGATGATAATGCAGTGGGTGAGTTTGTAGTGTTTCTGTTCCTTCTGATTACCTAAATCAGCACTTCACTTATTTGTTAATGTATAATACTAGTGTTATGCAGGCATTATGTGATCAGAATCGTGTCCTTTGCTTCATTACTGTCTTGGATTCTGTTTTCCTTTTTTCTTTTATACTTTGTTCCCCTTTCAGGTATAATTAATTCTTGGAATTCCTTGTCTGTAACTCGACATTGATATAAACATGTTTTTACATTATACCTTTTTTCTACCTCAGAGGATGTTGTGAGGTTTAGTTTGATATCAGCTCCTTGGATGAGAGGGGATATGACTGCTCTTTATAAATACATCAAGAGAGTAAACACTAGGAAAGGAGAAAAGCTATTTAAGCTAAAGGACAGTGTTGGCACAAGAGCAAATGAGTATAAACTGGCTATGAATAAATTTATGCAGAAAATCAGAAGCAGGTTTCTAATCATCAGATGAGTGAGGTTCTGAAACAGCCTTCCAGTACGTGTACTTGGGAAAAAAAGATATCTAGATTTACGATGGAGCTTGATAAATTAATGTATGAGTTTATCTGATGGGGTTACCCGTGATAGATGGGGACTAGAATTGATGACCCAGGAGGTCTCTTCCAGTCCTATGTTCCTATAATGAAAGAAACTGCAGAAGTGCAAAATATGTGTATTAAAATATTATTTTAGAAATTAGTTTCAGGGAGAAAAAAAATTCTGTGTACCTTAAGACTTACACTCCTTTTTCTAACTCTAATATTTGTGTTTTGATTCCAAATGAATTAATTAAAATATTTTTATTGGATTGTGGGATGTGTGTTTTACAGTGAATTTCAGCTATGTAGGTTCTATGCATCCAGAAGAAAGCCACCAGATGAGTGAATCTACGCTGTTGACAAATGAAAAAGAAGGATTTACACTTGAGCCTGTTGATGCTACAGGTCAGAGTTCAATCAGTTTCCTGTTAGGTGCATACAAATATTACAATTCCTGCTACATGGAAAACCCGGAAAAGCATGTTATATAAAATTATTCTAGTTATATTACTTGCTTTACTCTACTCACTCATTATTACTAATAATATTTGTATCAGAGATTATTTTTATTTACTTACATTTCATCTGTTCCTGCTGTCAAAGTTCAGTTCTGTTCTGAAAAGTGACCATGCAAAAAGGGCATTTTCTTACATCAACTGATCCACTCCCAATGTTTATTCACAGTCCTCTCCACTTACTAAAATAAGTTTTATTATTTTTCACTCCTGTTAGCAATGCAAAACCAACACTGCTATAGGAGAGTGAACTGTATTCTATTCTGGCTCATATACCATCAACGGAATTGTTAACTCAGTTCTAGTTGCAGAATCTTTGTGGGTGAGTTGTAGCCAGAAAGAACCAACATTGACTTTCTGATTCCAGGGTGAATTTTCAGGGTTTGCTTTGTTTCATGGTCTTAATTTTACTTAAACATAAAGATTTCCCTAAGATATTGAAAAAGGAAAATTTTTCCTCATTACTGTGATTAACAGGTGTTCAAAGTCAGTTTATTCAAGAAGATTAAAATTGGAAGTCTCAAAGAGACATCATCAGTCCTTGGAGATACAAGAAATGAAAGTGTAATTTGTTTCATCCAGTGGCCAACTCATGTGGTACATTTGTGGGTGTTATCAACTATATAAAATAGTACAATGGAAAAGAATGTTGTGAAATAAACGCCCCCACCATTCATATTGAAACTAAACCTTAGAATGCTTACATTTTCCAACCTTCCTGCCAAATGACTATTGAGATGCATGTATATCATAAATGTGTGTCTCCATGTGTTGGTGTCTATGTCTCCTCATTCAGCATCTTAAAGGGTTAAAACTGACAAAACCAGACATTAATCCTAAAATACTACTTTTTTAAGGACGTTAGCAATTCTTGGCCTGGCTAACTTCTCAGTAGAGTAAACTGCCTGAGAGACAAGGGAGGTGAGATAATATCTTTATTGGACCTACTTCTGTTGGTGGAAGGTACTTGCTTTCAAGGTATAATGCCTGTCTCTCACACACTTAATCGTGTCCTCTTACTTAAATAAACCATTACTTTACAGCTTTTTCAGTACAATATTCATAAATCTTCCTGCACTTAGAGGTATTTGAACTTGAGAGTATACAGAATTCCCAATAAAATGAAGAGGCTGTCTTTCTGAAAACTTTTGGTGAAAAGGTCCCCTCATTGTCAATGTAATTCTCCTGTTCACTCAACTTTTTTCTAAACTATTTCCAGCCTGTCCTTTTTATTCCAACTATTATATTCATGCTTAAGTTTTAAAGCATCAGAACTTGTTTGTATATGTTCATAATTCAACAAGAAATTAGAGGAAAATGTTCTAAACTGGAGTCAAAATGTCCCTTATTGTTTGGCTGGTGGTTGCCATATTGACATTTTTTTTTGTTTAAGCTGAAAGATTGACCTCAGGATGTGAGGGTGTTGGAGACGAAGGTGATACTTTTGGCCTCTCAAGAAGAGTTACCAGTACACATGCAATAAACAAAATGCCCTCTAAGTTGCTGCAGAAATGTTTTACGAAGAGAGTTGAGGACTGGGAGTAAAGTGGGGGAAATGGCCCACAAGGGGAAGGTCAGCAATGTCAGGATGGCCTAATATCCAAGTTTCTGCATTAAGAAGATCACAAGCCAGCCCCTCCCCATTCCACACTCTTGTTACAGTATATGCTGTCCTCAGAACTATGAGTAAGGGAGAGCTCCTGTTCAGATCACCAACATGCTGAACAATGAAAATATGGAAAAAATAATTCAATTTGAATAGCATCATTTACTTCCGATGTGTCCTGTGATACCCAACCCCTCTAGTACAGTAATAGACAAGTGTCCATCAGAAAAAGAGATAAACGTCCATGTTTGTGACTGTTTCTTATGCTTAGTTGTCATAGGGAGAAGGAGCTTTAAAAGAAAGAGGAAGTTGCTTGTTGATGTAGTGAAGGAGCTCAGCAGCAGCACTATTTACAAACAGCTTAGCAACTGCATGGATACTCTTACTATGTTGGATCTTGCACCCCCTACAAGAAAGTTGATGATGTGGAAGAAGTCAGGAGGAGTAGATAAACTTCTGTCCCGTACTACACAGCCTTTGATTAATGCTGAGCTACAAACGGTAACGGTTTATGCCTTTGTATGCTGTTACGACATTACCATATACGTGATGGGATTGTTGCATATTTAGGACCTGATTATCAGAGATGGTCTCCAATTCTGCAGGCTTCATTTTGTGTGCACAAGTAACTGTGTGTCCAATAAACTGCAGGTGAAAATATTAATAATTGAACATTATCTAATTGTACAGAAATTCAGGTAATTGGACATCTGATGAATATATTTGTATCCTCTGGTATTTGCTTCTACAGAAAAGTCTGCCATCTCTAGAATTCAGGCCCTTAATCTTCAAAATTCCAAGAATCAGTACAAGAGGGCATAGAAATGTGAGCGTATGTTTGTGATTTCACATATAAGCCCTTCGTTGATTGCACGCTGGTACGTTATTATTTTTCTGATTTATAGCTCTGTAATTAGTACTAGACCATATTGACCTTCTGCAATTATTGTTTGTTATAATAGTAATAAAAATATTATATAGTGCTTTCCATCCATAGATTTCAAAGTACTTTTTTTTTGTTTTTTTGTTTGTGTTCTGAGGTCTTCAGGCTGCCAAGTAAATACAAATGTATTATGATTATTGTTTTATTACTATAATCTAATTGAGTAGGAATTATATTCTAGGAAGTCCTAGTTTTGAACAATGAATTCCAGGAAAAACAATTACTAACCTTTAAATTCATAGAACCAAATAAGATCAGCTTGAGGAAAAATGTGTGACTTGACCTGATGCTGTACTGTTGTAGTAAGAGCCTTATGTCAGGGTACATCTATACTTACCTCCGGGTCCGGCGGTAAGCAATCGATCTTCTGGGATCGATCCCGGAAGTGCTCGCCGTCGACGCCGGTACTCCTGCTCAGCGAGAGGAGTACGCGGAGTCGATGGGGGCACCTGCCTGCCGTGTGTGGACCCGCGGTAAGTTCGAACTAAGATAGTTCGACTTCAGCTACGTGAATAACGTAGCTGAAGTTGCGTATCTTAGTTCGAAGTGGGGGGTTAGTGTGGACCAGCCCTTAGAAAGAACATTCTAACAGTCTTATAAGACAAGAAGCCTTACAGAGAAATGGTGTTAAAATTGTTTGAAATATCTGTGGACATGTCCAGTTTTACTGACATTGTCATTTCATTCATTTTAGTTTCTGAAACATGTTTTCAGTTGCACCAAATGGAAATAGTGCCAGCTAATCAGATTACTGGTGGTGGCTACTTATTTACTGATTTAAAATAAAACTTCATCTAGTTACATATAGAACATACTTTAAAAAAACAAAACTGTACTTTAAGCTCTTATCGGAAGCACACAAGTCATTTCTCTAAGCCAGTCAGAATTCAGCTATTCAATAATGGTATAGTGAACAGCTGTCTCTATCTTGGTCCATCGAGTGTTAGACAAAAGACTTCAGTCTTTCAGTATAATGGAAATAAAGTAATTAGAATAGAACATTATCACAAGAAGACTTCTGTTGAAGCAAAGCAGAAGGAAGAAGTATGTTGTGAATCCTGAACAACAGTGTGTATGTTTAAACCAGAAGCCTGTGGTATATCTGTATTTATATTTTTATTTCAAATGTTTTTAATTTTCCCTTATATTAACTATTTTAGAGGAAGGCAACTGAAACCAGTGAGGCTATTTGCATGAAATATAATGATTAATATTTTCAAAGCAGTGCAGGGGATTTAGATACATGTCTTTGTGTAGCAAAATCCCCTGCACTGCTTTCAAAATCTCAACTTATGGTTTTAATTTTTCATTTTAAGTACAAACCTTCCTTGGTTAATTGCAATAAGACACTGTACTACATCTTTTTTGATAATAATGTACTTAGGTAGTGTGCCATTGACCTAATACGTATCTCTGTATCCAGCCATGTCTACATCTCTTAGCTCATTACAAGATAAGAATCTCTCGAACACTGTCTTCTTATTATGCTGAAGGATGTTGGCTGGAAAAACAGGTCAAATCATGCATGGAAGGACCTTCCAGGCATGGAGCCTCACCTCTTTTACACAGGAGGGAGGTATCAGTTGCTTGGTGGCACTGTTCCTTGCTTCCTCTCCCATGATTTCAGGGACCTTCCAGACAACCTTCTGTAGGTTCAGGGTCCATGATGGGATGAAGACTGCTGGGAGAGCCCAACCTGGGTGGGAGTAAGGCAAAAGGAAGCATATAGTGTCCCCCTACTGGCCCCACAGAGATTATGTAGGTTCTATTACCTTTTATATGGGGCACCTCTTTAGTGGGTCATTCCTCCCTTTAAGAGTGTTCCAGGGGAGCTCCTGGAAGAGGAACTGGAGTGCAAGAGCAGGTATTGAGGCACAGGCTTCCATGCAGATGGCCCTAACCTCTTGTTAATCCTTTGGATCCATACAGATCCCTCAGATCTGCAAGGTTTAGGGACAGAGCCACAGACACCCTGTTCCACATGGAGACAAATCATGGCCCCACAACTATATGAGAGAAACTCCCATGTGAATAACCTCACAGATTTTTCTTTCCCTTATCCCACTCCAGTGGGGTTCATTATTGGTGGGGGGGGGGGAGAGGGAGATGATCCAGGCCAATGTTAGCTTTGCCACTTTCTCACTTAGAACAGCGGTTCTCAAACTGGCTTGGGACCTTAAAGTGTGTCACGACCCCGTTTTAATGGGGTCACCAGGGGTAGCTTAGATTTGCTGAGGCCAGGGGCTGAAGCTGAAGCCCAATCCCCACCATCTGGGACCGAAGCCTGAAGGCTTCAGCCCTGGGCAGTTGAGCTCAGGTTACAGGCCTCCTGCCTGCGGCTGAAGCCCTCAGACTTCAGCTTTATCCCCTACCCCACCCCCCAACCGGAGGGGCAGGGCTCGGGTGGGCTCAGGCTTCAGTCCCCCTTTCTAGGATCGTGTAGCAATTTTTGTTGTCAGAAGGGGTAAATAACTATTGAAATTTAAATGAGTGAGCTAAAATACTTGTCCCATTTTTAACATTTTGGCATGTGATTTTTTTATAAGTTACATCTAATGCTCCCCCTTCCTAGGGTTGTGTAGCAATTTTTGTTGTCAGAAGGGGGTCGCAGTGCAATGAATTTTGAGAACTCCTGACTTAGAGAATCTCAGCAAAATTCTCTGTTAACAGGGTCTGAGTCAATGGCTTAAATTTTGGATCAAAGCAATTAATATACAGTAACTGTCCATCATTTCCTTGTATTTTCTGTTATGTTTTGTTGTTAGTTATTAATCTGAAGTTACATTCTTCAAGAAACAAATCTTTGTTTTTACAGTTGTTTGCAAATTGCTTTAAGTATCATGGCTTTAAGACTGGAAGAAAAGGTATACAGACAGAGTCTGAAACTGAAGAAACAAGACGAGAGAGAGAGACTACAGGTGAAATTTTTATAATTCTGCTCGTCCCAACTGATTTTATTATTTAACCATCAGAAAAAAATTTTTAAACTCACACATTTTATTTAGTGTTTCAGACACAAAACATTCAATGTGCATCACTGCACAAACCAGAAAGGCAAGAAAAGCTTAAAGCTTAAGAAAACTAGTTACCCACTTAACCAATTTGTTACAACAATTATATTAATTATAGGGCTGTCAATTAACCGCCGTTAACTCACGCGAATAACTCAAAAAAATTAACTGTGATTAAAAAATTAATCGTAATTAATCACACTGTTAAACAATAGAATACCAATTGAAATTTATTAAATATTTTGGAAGTTTTTCTACATTTTCAAATGTATTGATTTCTATTACAACACAGAATACAAAGTGTACAGTACTCACATTATATTAGTTTTTATTACAAATATTTGCACTGTTAAAATGATAAACAAAAGAAAGTATTTTTCAGTTCACCTCATACAAGTATTGTAGAGTAATCTCTATTGTGCAAGTGTAACTTACAAATGTAAATTTTTTTTGTTACATAAATGCACTCAAAAACAAAACAATGTAAAACTTTAGAGCCTACAGGTTTACTCAGTCCTATTTCTTGTTCAGTCAATCGCTAAGACAAACAAGTTTGCTTACATTTACAGGAGATACTGCTGCCTGCTTCTTATTTACAATGTCATCTGAAAGTGAGAACAGGCATTTGCATGGCACTTTTGTAGCCAGCATTGCAATGCCCCTTCATGCTGCACCCACCATTCCGGAGGACATGCTTCCATGCTGATGATGTTCGTTAAAAAAATAGTGCGTTAATTAAATTTGTGACTGAACTCCTTGGGGGAGAATTGTATGTCTCCTATTCTATTTTACCTGCATTCTGCCATATATTTCATGTTATAGCAGTCTCGGATGATGACCCAGCACATGTTCGTTTTAAGAAAACTGTCACTGCAGATTTGACAAAACGCAAAGAAGGTACCAATGTGAGATTTCTAAAGATAGCTACAGCACTCAACCCAAGGTTTAAGACTCTGAAGTGCCTTCCAAAATCTGAGAGGGACAAGGTGTCGAGCATGCTTTCATAAGTCTTAAAGGAGCCACACTCTGATGTGGAAACTACAGAACCCGAACCACCAAAAAAAAACAAACCTTCTGCTGGTGGCATCTGACTCAGATAATGAAAATGAACATGCATCGATCTGCACTGCTTTGGATTGTTATCGAGCAGAACCCATCATCTGCATGGACTCATGTCCTCTGGAATGATGGTTGAAGCATGAAGGGACATATGAATCTTTAGTGTATCTGGCACGTAAATATCAGTGCCATGAGAACACCTGTTCTCACTTTCAGGTGATGTTGTAAACAAGCAGGCAGCATTATCTCCTGCAAATGTAACCAAACTTGTTTGTCTGAGCGATTGGTTGAAGTAGGACTGAGTGGACTTGTAGGCTCTAAAGTTTCACATTGTTTTATTTTTGAATGCAATTATTTTTTTGTACATAATTCTACATTTGTAAGTTCAACTTTCATGATAAAGAGATTGCACTGCAGTACTTACATTAGGTGAACAGAAATATACGATTTCTTCTGTTTTTTACAGTGCAAATATTTGTAATCAAAAATAAATGTAAAGTGAGCACTGTACACTTTGTATTCTGTGTTGTAATTGAAATCAATATATTTGAAAATGTAGAAAACATCCAAAAATATTT